TGAGAGGTGGTGACGGAACAAAAGGAGGAAGCTGAGCTGAAAACAAGGGATAAGAGCCCGAAAGATGGGTATTGGACGAAGAGACAGACCCATAACGAGGAGGCTTAGGTGCGGCACCCAAAGAGGAAGACAATGAGGGGTTAGAAACAGAATCAGAGAGAAAATGCTTCTTTCCTTTATTTTCCAAATTAGTTGACGATTTCAAAGAATGAAAGCCCAAAAAATCCTTCTCAAAATAACGGCCAGTAAGCTTCCAAATTTTAACTTTTTTGGAGGAGGAAGAAGAAGATCCAAGCGATTCAATCTCAGATCTATTGCAACGTGGCCTTGCTAGTCTGGGGTTCAATCGAGGAGGATCCTATTTCACCAATGGAGGTCGAGCCCTAGCATGTCCAAGAATGGCTCTAGGAGGTTGAACATGGGGTCTAGCTTGAGGCTTTCTAAGAACCTCAACCCAAGAGCGGTCTTCTTTACCAGTAGAAACTTCAAGAGGGGCCAGAGCCAGAGGATTGGTAGTCTTTAAACCTTCAATGGTGATATCAATGGTAAAAAGGTCTGAACCAACAAAAAGGTTGATCGATGAGGTGACATCATTGGTATTCTTTGCACATCTAAGAATATTGACTCTAATAAAACAGATATCAGGACCCACCATACATTCCCTGTCAATATCAACAAAAACCCCTACCAAATTGGCTAGACGTTGAAAGACTGCCATATTCCAATCATGGAGAGGAATACCTCCGACTCGAACCCAGCAAGGGGGGGCATGAAGTGAGATTAGCGTGATCCCACGGTTTCCAGGAATAAATCGATAAGATTTTAATCCGGACATGTCAGATATTGCGAATAAGGAGGACTTTAGGAACGTCATCAGCAGAAGAAAGAGAGAGAACAATTCTGTTACTCCTGAAAGAACGAACCGCAGGGGAGTAGGGTAGATTCCAGGCTCTCGTAGCCCAATCGCTAAGACCCTAGGTATCAGTAGAGGGCAGGGAAAAAGAACCAATAACAAGAAGAGCAGTGACTTTAAGAGATTCAGAAAGAAATGAGGAGTAATAAAAAGGCTTGGGGGATGAAGTTCCATCTAGAGTACAATCTACATTACATACCCCTTGAGGAACAAAGTGTTTCTTCCTTTTTACAATATCAAGTATCAACTGATGTTTTCTCATGAGGTCGTTGCGTAAATATGAGAATGACATAGTAATAATAGGCATTGTTTTAAATTGGATTGTGTTTCTTATCAACTACATATATATATTTATAAGAGTTAATCACCTAGGGACCCTATATAAGTAGGGAAAATACAATATGCTCCTCTTATATGCAAATACTACAACTAGGGTTGCTCAACCCGACTTTGTTTTTTGACAAAATTACCTCTCGGTATGAGGTTGCCATCCACAAACTGCGTTTTAAATTTTTTTATTTTCATTGGTGGGGCAGAGCCTGAAGATTTTGGGACACTTCCCAAGCGGTCCGAGGTTCAAATCCTATTGTAGTTCGATCTCTTAACCTCTTGTGGAAAGGTAATGCATATCAAAATCTAGTTGCTACAAAATTTAATTTAATTTTTGTTAATTTCATTTTTAGAGATGTGGGTAGACCTTTTATTTTTTTAATTTAGGGCTAATTGTTAGAAATATGTTTAGTATGGGTTTTTGGTTTAGTTGATAAAATTCATCTTCTTAAATTGAGTCTGTTTATTTTTATTTTTGGCAAGATAATAAATAAAATTTAGAGTTTGATAAGTCGCTTTTTTATTTTTTATAGTCCATTTAAGCAAATCTTTGAAGCAAATCTTTAGGTGACCTTTTAGAGGTTTTACTTCTTAATATTAAGGTGGGTAGATGGTTATCTATTTAGATGGAGGATCTATTAGATGGGGTGTTATCTTTTGGGCAAGCTTTTTATGCTTTCCCTACTGTTGATTCTGAATGGATGGTTAAGATGGCCTCAATATATAAAAACATTTCCAAAAAATAGCCTTGAAAGATTTAAGTGGCATTTTGGTCACTATATTTTATAGAAAAATTATTTTTGATATTTTTTTAGGTTTTCTTGTTCTTTGCCATAACGCCCATTCTGAGAGCAAAGCCAGTGGAGGTAATGAGCTTCTTCCCCTCTACCATGGTCGCGAGTGTGAAGCAACAAGCAAAGCACTCTTCAACCAAGCACTTAGCTTTAAAAGTAAACCCAAATACTCTAAGCAGCTCACTTGATCAAAATTGGACAGTTGGATTGTAGAGAAAGCATATATTTTCTATCTCTACAAGTAAACCCTAAATACTCTAAGTAGTTCACTTGATCAAAATTGGACGGTTGGATTATAGAAGAAGCATAGATTTTCTAGAGAAGTATAGAAACCTTTCTCTTATCTATCTTTTAAGTTGGTACGTGGATGGAAAGAATCTAGAGATAGATTTGTGAGATATATCAGGGGTTATCCTTTGAGAGTGATGATGCCTTTTTTTTATTGGACTAAGGAGTTCCTTTTTAGTAGGTTGTTAAATTTTTATTGAATGAAAGAAATGAAGTTTTTTTGTGGGGAAAGAGAGAGGCCCTTCACTGCGTCAAAAGGGACCATGGCAACTAACTAAGACGACCCGGCAAAACAACTGTTAGATTTCAGTATGTCATATTTCAGAAAGTCAGCTTTATGAGGATTGTCTTTAAGAAACGTATATTTTTAGTGGTTGGGGGGTTTGCAGAGTTAAAGGGCCATGCATTTTTAAATTGAAGGAGAAAAGGAAAAAGAAAAGAAACATCTATGTACAAGAGTTTCAATTCCATTAGTAACCTTTAACAACAACTTTATGCACAAAGGAAAGTGCACCAGTCATCATAATTGCTTTTATATAATCTTTATCGCTTTGTATTAAGAAAATGGGTACTTATTAGTGCACTACATAACATGTATGTCTGCACCTATTTTTTAAAATCCGGATTGGATAGGAAACTAGACAGTTTTCTAGTCTAGTTCAATCAGGGTCCAACCAGTTCTCAAATTGGTTGGATGAACATCGGTTAAAATTGTGAGATCTATTGAAAAATTTACAAAATTTAAATGTGTTCTCATGATCCAGGTTTTTATCGGACTAAACCAGTATGGGGTCCAGTCGGATCCAATTATGTTATAACCAGTGGTTTAGAAAATGGATTGGTGCCTCGGATCGGGCACCCAAAAAATCCATCCGGATGGGGAATCGGCGAGGAATCGGCGATTCGGATCGGGAATCGTCTGAATCGGTTGGATTAAGGCTTAAAAAAATTATTAAAACTCATTATAAGTATTGTTTTTAAGAATCTAATAAGAAATGGGGGTACCCCATTAAGAACTTTCATTTTTTTGCATCAATATGCCAATCCTGTACGAACTACTGTTAACCACTATTATTAATTATAATATAGTAAACATGATTAAAAAAATATCATAAAATGTTTCCATATCATATGATTAAAAATAAAAATAAAATCCCCAATAAATTCTAATGTTATGATATTAAAAAATTCAAAAAAAATTTATCCAAAACAATTAAAATAGACATCAAAATTCAAAAAATAAAAAAATACCTATCAACAACATGCACAACAGTTACAAAAATATAAAAATAAAAATACATATGGAAATAAAATATACTAGAAAAACCATTTTAATAATGAATAGCAAAAACTTTTATATGAAAGTTTTTAAATTTGGCACTCTAATTAAGTCATTTAATTAGAAGAATATGTTGATGAGGCTCCTTGAATATGACATGTTAATTTGAAAACATGATATGCTAATATTTATAAATTAATTGATACACTCATTAATAATATTAAACTAATTGACATGCTCATTGATTCATTTTTTAGAATATGATTAAAAAAACTAAAACCCTTTATAAATTTTAATATTATGACACTAACAAAAATTTACCCTGAAATTAAAAAATAAGGATATTAAAATAAAAAATAAAAAATAAAAAAATGGCATGTTCACCTCACTCCTTTATTGTTGTAAAAAAAAAAAACTTATTGCATGCAAATATGAGAGTGCAAAATGGGCATATAAACCAAGCAGCGTATTAAATAAGCAGCGTATTAAATTTCTGAATAGTGTTGTTGTAGAGGGTAAGGGGACGTTGTAAGGTTTTGTTGTAGAGGGTAGGGGGAAGCGTGGAGTGCGATGTTATATTTTGTAGATGGAGGGGACGCGTGGTTTCGCATAAGTACAATGACAGTCTATGACATCCATTGCAACTCAAGTTCGCAACGGTACATACCGATTCACTGTAGCATGGCGCTGAGAATCGGCGATGTAATTTTTCTTTTAGTACATTCGATTTCCGTTATTGATTTACTGTAGCATGTCACTGAGAATCAGCGATACAATTTTTCTTTTAACACATCCGATTTCCGATATTGCACAAAAATGTGCCAATTCCCACATGGATCGTGGGCGATTCCGAGCTGACTCTGTGGCTTTTAAACCACTGCCTGCAAAACAATACCTCCCATGATGGGACCACCACTGGTTATAACATTGTATGGAGCACAGACAATACCTCCCATAATGGAACGGTCCCATCATGTATGACACAAAGAGCTTTGATGAAAACCGGTTAAAATCTTGAGATCCATTAAAAAAATGTACAAAATTTGTGTTTTCAAGATCCAGGTTTTTAGCGGACTAAACTAGTTTGGGTTCCAGTCTGATCCAATTATGTTTAACATTGTATGCAGCACAAAACAATACCTTCCATCATGTCTGCCACAAAGAGCTTTGATGAAAACCGGTTAAAATCTTGAGATCCTTTAAAAAACAAGATCCAGGTTCTCAGCCGAGTAAGCCAGTTTGGGGTCCAGTCGGATACAATTATGTTTAACATTGTATGCAGCACAAACAATACCTTCCATCATGTATGACACAAAGACCTTTGATTCAAATTGAAAAGGAGAAACATCACAAGGAAATTTTATTTCATTAAGTTTTCATCAGTCATAGAATCATTCTAAAACAATTCATGCATGCCATTTCCTCTGTGGTGGAAAACAGTTACATTGCAGAACTCTATACCATTCAGAGTTGCGGGATCGATAGAGTGGGTTGATTTAAGAACATAGCCACGAGCCAGGCGGAAAACTCCTGTACCTCCGACAATCGACAACTCCCTCACCGTATGCAGAAGTGGATTCCTCCCCACCACATTGAGACTGCTACCATTGAACTTGCCGCCTGTGAATACTATAGTGTGGGACTCGAACAAAGTGATCTCACTTTGGGATGTGAAATGATACAGGCCTTGAGCCTGACCAACAAGCTTGGATGTGAGCTCCGGTCCTTCGGTCAAGGGGTCGTCAATAACGACAACCTCGCCAAAGCGACTGGGCGAGTCGCCTGTCGTCTTGGCTTCAGAGACAGGCACTGCCGTAGGCTTCTCTGCGACAAGGAGATCGTGTAAGTAGAATTGGATGCGGCTCACTTTTGGTCCACCTAGGTCTAGGCCTAGCTGTGCTTGGCCAATCGGCATGGACGAGAAGAAGAGCAACAATGAGGCCATGACAGTGGCTAACGCTGCGGTTCCTCTCATCTTTGATTCAATGAGATTCTTGATGAGGATACTTTCTTTTATACTGAAAACTCCTTGCTAATATTTGGGATATGCAAGTCATATTTTGTTATTTTATTCAGAATGCAAGTACTCTGCATGTGATTCGAGTTCAACCTATAATAATCAAACCTCTAATCATGTCAGAGAGAGATGGGTTCCCAATATTATTTGTGTTGTTATTTTTTTTGCCTGACATCCATAGATTAAACTATACCCACCTTTCCCTTGTTTCTTGTTATTGTTATTCTTCAGCATCTCCTATACTACAAGTCCAAATATGCAATTCAAAATTTTCTTTTTTAGTCCATTGGAGGCATCCCCTGCCTAGTAGGGAGTGGACCAATTTGGATTGAAAATTTAATATGAAACTTTAGACATAGAATTTACATAAAAAAATTCTCTAATGTGGTAAGTGTGGAAATATTTTCATACCAATTGATCTTAGTGCATCTTTTCATATCAGTTGGCAATTAGTTGAAGTTTGATAAGCACCTTTGAAGTTTGAGTTTGGTCAATGGAAAAAATACAACCATCTAATTTCACATATAATGGTCAATGTTAATTGTGCCTGCCTTGTACCAAAGATAAATGCTTTCATTGTATAGTTTTTCTATCTAAAATTATTTTTAGTGGATTTTTGTTTTTATTTGAATATTTTTATAGCATCTTTGATCCATCTTATGAACAACTTTGAAAGAAATAGTTTTATGTAAAACCCTATATTTGATTGCTGCTCAAATATACGATCGAGAGTTAAGAGGGGATATTGATATGGTACATTAAATTTTTTTTTTAGCACCATGGTCATTTTTATTTTTAAGGTTGATCTAAGGAATGAATCAAAGTAAACCGAAGATTATTTGATCAAAAGAATATCATATGTTTTTGGACGGTGGATCAGGGGTTCATGGTGGTACGTTGGTCTTGTAGGGCCACTAAATAGTTCTCTTATAAATTAATTGGAAATTTATCTAAATACCAGTAGATATGAAGTATTTAATATTTTGCTCATTTGCAACTATTTGGACACAAGTTGAAGTATTTAATATTTTGGCCGTTTGCAACTATTTTAACTCAAGACGAGGTGTTTTTTTTTTAATGAGTATTTTGAAGCTAAATCTGTAAATATAGGTAGAGTATTGAAATATTCAATTCTCACATATAATTTGATATTTTTCCGCACGATCTTCGAGATGGATACAAACATGGACCCTTTTGGCACTTTCAATGATTTCAAAGCTATGAAGTCACAATTTCTTTCTTTGACATTAACTATTAAGTTATGGAAAAGTATAAAGGAAAAGTTTATATAGAGCCGAGGCTCTAAACAATCAAATTTGAGCTACAAGAGGTTGTTTTGATGCTCAAATATCCTTAAATTTGTCATCTTGACATAAAGATGTATAGACATGAGAAAAAAATGGAGTTCAAGTTTTGAAAATAGTGTATTTTGTAATGCAATTTTGGACCGTCAATTTTCAAGATTTTCAAGTATTCATATATCTATCTATCTACGCTGTTTATGAAGCTTTAAACTTTATAAATAAAGATGAAAATAAATTTTAAGGCGATTATAAATATTTTTAGTATTGAAACCACATTTCTCGATACTATTTGAAGGTAGGCTTTAATTTGATTGTTTAGAGCCTAGGCTCTATACAAACCGCACCCAAAGTATAATATGATCCAAGATATGCTCATATTATAGGTTACCTTGAGTAAGTTATTAAAAGAATATGTTATCAAAGGAAAAGAAGGGAGAAGTTATATAGAGCAGAGGATCTAAACAATCAAATGAGGGCCTACCTAAAAAATTTCACTAGAAGAGGTTGTTTTGATGTTTAAATATCTTCAAATTGATCATCTCGACATCAAGATGCATGGACATGAGAAAAAAATGGATTTCAAGTTTTGAAAATAGTGACGTTATAATGGATATTTGGACCATCATTTTCAAGATTTTCATAGATCTGCTTGATCTATACTGTTTTTGAAGCTTTAAATTTTATAATTAAGATGAAAATATATTTTTAGGCTATCACAAATATTTTCAATGTTGAAACCACAATTCTTGACACTATTTAAAGGTGGATTCTTCTTTGATTGTTTAGAGCCTCAGCTCTATGCGAACCGCACCCTTAAAAGAATATGTTATTTTGTTCCTTATCTTCTTATACCATTTTTTCCCCTTTGAATGTTAGATTTTTTTTAAGTATATTTTATTGATTCCCTCATCCAATTTCCCATGCTCTTTTAATGTAAAGCTTTGGCCATGATCTTTTAATGTAAAGCTGATGCTTTTTTATATCTTTGAGCACTAGAGTATGGGCAGGGCCATGCAAGTTGAAACAAACTTTATTTTCTTATCTACCTATTTATAATATAATGCAAGTTGAGACTAATTTTATCTTCTTATCTATCTACCAGCAATATATTGCATCGATATGTACGACGGCTTTTATGATATTTG